AGACACACACATGTGTGGACCAGCTTGCTAGCAGGGCGCACACGGGGCACTGGCGGCCTTTTTAAAAATAAAACTTTGTTCCTGCTTGAGTGGCTTGTGATTCTGTGCCCAGCTGGGTTGCGGCACATTTCCATCCATACATTGTAGCATACTATTTGGCCATCCTTCCTTCTACATTCATTAATTGAAATCTTTAGCAGGGGGGGAAAGGTTCCCTTTTTTTCTCCTTATTTATACTAACATGAACTTTTAGGTATTTTATTTTATGAATTATAATCCTTACTTATTTTGTTCTCAAGCTGTTCCAGACTAGGCCATCGGGAGCTTTTTCAAGTGGGTTCCCATGACCTCAACAGGCCCCCATCATTAACCAAGTAATCAAAGTTAACATCATTACCACTGTGAGATACATCAATGTACTGCATTAGCAAGGTGGACTTCTTGTCAAAATGCCTAACCTAAATTCAATCGTGAATGCACATCAGACCACTTCAAATTGAGGTTTTTCTATAAAATAACTAGCCAGCAATCTTCAAAACTGCTAAAAATCTTGCAGGAAAAAGACTGAAAACCTATCCCAGKTTGGAAGAGATTCAGGAGACATAAGCAGCAAATGTAATGTGGATTCCTGGACTGGATCCTGGATCACAAAGACTTGTGGGGCAATGCACACAATTCAGTAAGACCTAGAGGTTAGTTCTATTTTATCTCCTGATTTGATAGTGGTTTTATAGTTAAGGTGTTAAAACATTTGTGGAAACTAGATGAAGGCTATGCAAGAATTATTTGTGCTATTTTTGTAAACCTGAAATTATATTAAAATGAAAAGTTTGCTTTAAATGTAACTATGAAGAGTCGAATAGTACTAATTTTACAAGACACATAGGGAAAAGATCACTTTATGATCTTTGGCTAGGTCAAGATCCTTAAGAATCAAAAGTATGAATCACAAAGGAAAAGGATAGGTTATGAATGATATCTGTTCAACAGATGATCTATAAACAAAGAGAAGACCCAAACGTGCAGAAGACTTGCTTCACACTAGTGAATACAGCTTAGTATTCAGAATATATAAGGAATTAAATCAGTAAGAAAGGTCAGTCTAAGAAACGGGCAACCAGGATCCGGAATTTCAAGAACAGGATTAGACACTATATCTTGTTAGTAGTCAGTAAACACGAATAAAACCTCTCAATAAAAGTAAAAAAGGAGGGGCTGGGCATGGTGGCGCTCCCCTGTAATCCCAGCAGCTTGGGAGGCTGAGGCAGGAGGATCGTGATTTCAAAGGCAGCCTCAGCAAAAGCGAGACACTAAGCAACTCAGTGAGACCCCATCTCTAAATAAAACACAAAATGGGGCCAGGATGTGGCTTAGTGGTTGAGTGCCCCTGAGTTCAATCCCTGGTAACCCCCCTCAAAAAGAAAAAAAAAGTGAAAAAGGAGGCCAGTATCAAGCCTTGGCAACAGTATGGATCAAGTAGAATTTTTTTGTACACCAACAGGAGAGCATATATATTGGTTCCCCCACTTTGGAAAACATTTTGGCATTACTTAGCAAAATTAAATAGACCTATAACCTATGAGCCAGCAATTTGAGTCCTGGGCATATGCCCTGGAGAAGCTCTAGCACAACACCTGCCACAAGACCTGGCTGAGAACGCTATGACAGCACTGTCTGTAATGGCAAAAAGCCACAAACAGGGGGCTGGGGATGTGGCTCAGTGGTAGAACACCCCTGGGTTCAATCACCAGTACCATGAGGGAAAAAAAAAAATCAGGAAAAAAATTTAGTGAACATGAAAGAATAATAGAGTCCAATGTCTTTAACCACAATATTGTCAAAAACTCACAATATTCATTCAAGACTGAACTCCTTGGAGAACACCGTCAAGGTTGAGAGAGGAAGCATTAGGCTCCAAACATGCAAGCAGAAAATCTGTCCCACAAACACCCACACCCCCCAAAGGCAGCAGGAATGGCCTGGCCTGAGGGTTGCCTCAAACGCTGCACCCTGGAAAATTCTGACAGTTAACTGGCATCACCTCAACCATGAAGAAAACGCACTTTTTATATGTCTTATGGTCCTGGTAGAAAATCACTGCATGATTTTTTTTTTCTTTCAGTTAAATATTCCTGACCTAAATATGATGGGAGGGCCGACACAGTCTAAGCAACTGTCTCTAGCCCTTAGGGCACGTAGGGCATCACTAGAAAGGAAATCTTTTATGGGCTGGAGCTATGGCTGAGAGGTAGAGTGCTCACCTAGCATGCATGCGTGAGGCACTGGGTTCCATCCTTGGCACCACATAAAAAAAATAAAGATATTGTGTCCACCTATAACTAAAAACTATTTTTTTTAAAAAAAGAAAGTAGGGGCTGGGGATGTGGCTCAAGCGGTAGCKCGCTCGCCTGGCATGCGTGCGGCCCGGGTTCGATCCTCCAGCACCACATACAAACAAAGATGATGTGTCCGCCAATAACTAATAAATAAATATAAAAAAAATAAATAAAGAAAGAAAGAAAGAAAGAAAGTAGACATTACCAAAAAAACAGGGTCTAAAACATAAGCAATAAAAGTGCACAACAACAGACATCATCGCTTAACACAAAACCGCACAGATCTCAGATGTCATGGAGCGGGAGAAGTCACGTCTCAGGTGGTCAGAAGCAGCTCCCTGGTGTTTCAAGTCCAGTCTGGGGGCAGTGGGTTCCCACAGCCCCCCCCACACACACCCAGCACAGGAAAAACCACGCAAGGCCAGAGTCCAAAAGCGCAGGGAAGGGAAATCCAGTCCCACCAGCACTGTCCCTTGTGGTGGCAAGAGAAGAACCACAGGAGAGTGACTGTCAGTTTGTCATGCAGAGGTTTCCCAGCTGGTATACCACAAGTTTACAACCAAACTGGTAAGAAGAGAGTTTGAAGCACATTTTGAATCAGAGATGTCTGTTTTTATGTAAAGCTGTTTTAAAATATGTAATTTTAATAAACACTTTGTATATATTTCCAAATATATATAAAATATTTTGAATAAAAACCCCATAAATATGATACACACCACATATAGGAAAAAGCAAAATTCAGCAATCCTAGACCCATGGAATCAGAGGCTGTGCTTTCTCAGTCTTTTTCTGTACTTTCCAAGTTAGATTTTTAAAGGTAAATAAACAGGGCTGGGGTTGTGGTATAGAGCACTTGCCTAGCGTGTGTGAGGCCCTGGGTTCGATTCTCAGCACCATATATAAATAAATAAAATAAAGGTCCATTGACAAAAATGAATAAATAAAACAAGAATTACTTTCTTTTCAGGTTTTACTTTTATAACTTAAAAAAGTTACTTTACAAGCACATACATCAGTATTCATAAACACATGGATATCTTGGAGAAATCATAAGAAACTGATAACATGAGAACTCTGAGAAATTGTGTAACAAGATGGTATCCCTTTCTGTTATCTTTTTAATTCAGCCCCATACTTATTATTTACTTAAAAACAAATATACTTTTTGAAAAAAAAAAATGACGTGCAACATAAAGGACATTTCTATTTCCCTACGTAATCTCCCCAGACCCTTCATGAACTCTCAGTCTTTCCTCAGTGAGACTCGCCACAATTCCGGCAGCATCAACTGGAAGGCAGAGGGTCTTGTCAGGGCACTTCACACTGATTGGTGGTCCGCGGACGCCCTGGCGTGCTGCACCTGGCTGCCCACTGATTTCCGTATGACCATCACTTGAGGCTGTAGCTTGCTGGGAAGGGGAGGGAGGCAGGAGCCTTCCCTGTGCTAAACTCCTAAACTCYGTGGAGGCTGCCACACTCTGGGCGGCCTCCTGGGCCACTCTGTGCTCCTCTCCTGTGGGCTCCTCCTCCTTTACAGCCGAAGCATCTCCTGTGTGGTGTAAGACTCCAGAGCTGCCATCAGGTCCTCCTGATCCTATCTGCTATGAGCRCTRYTGCGTTTCCAGGTCTGCACGCGTCATGAAGTAAGGTGGGTGKCTGGGAAAGTCTGCAGTGTCTTGTGAGTTTAAGTTAGWGGAACCTCAAACCCACCCTGGTGGGCCTCAATATGACAATAAACTAAAGGACCAAAGCACTTTGTCTTTTCACAGTATAATCAACTAAAATAATAAYGATCTACTTATTAGATCATGAGAAACACAAGAATTAAGAATATGATCTTTGGGCAGGGGGCAGTGATGCACACCTATAATCCCAGCAGCTTGAGAGGCTGACAGGAGGATTGCGAGTTCAAAGCAGTCTCAGCAACGGCAAGGCAGTCAGCCACTCAGTGAGACCCTGTCTCTAAATAAAATACAAAATAGGGCTGGGATGTGGTCAGTGGTCAAGTGCCCCTGAGTTCAATCCCCAGTACCCACCCCACTAAAAAAGAATATGATCTTTTGAAAACCAGTGACAGAATTTAGCTGTACTGTGCTATGGTTACACACCAAGTTAACAGCCAAGCCTCTCACCACTTGTCAGTTACAAATCGTTTACAGCAAGTAAGTGGTGACAAGGAAGTAAGTAACGCCAGCACTTGCAAATATTTTAATTAGAAAATGTGCCTCAAAAAATAGATTTAGCAGAATTATACTTTAGAGGTCAAACAAGTATCAGGTTCAGATTAATTCAATCAGACTCCCTACTTTGTGTTTTAACTTTGTTCCATTCTACTAAGCATAAATATTAAATGCTTACAAAACATACTTAATTTGAAATGCTTAAATACAAAACAATTCATTATGGTCTCATCAGTACATTTATAAAGCACTGTAATGAAAACTAACAGCTCCAAATAAGTAGATAATATACACTATGCAAATGTTTATCCAACAAACAACATTTAGACATAGAAAAAGAACAAGCAATGTCAATTAGTGTTATTCTTTCAGTTATACTACATGAGGCAAAAAAAACAAAATGTTCAAGTTCTAGTAGTGATAAGATTAAGCTACTTTCTAAACTGGATTAAAAAGTACTTAAATTGTTAGAAAATTTTGACTTTCAAGTTGGCAACAAAATAATGTGCCAAAAGACCAAATCAGTGTTTTAAAGCCAGCGTTAGGTGGTTGATGCACACGTCCCCAACTGCAGAACACTGGAATTCTCACAAGAATCTCACCAAAAGCCCAAGAACATATTCAACAAAAAAACTACCCTGTGTACTCTGGGGGGGTTTTTTTGTTGTTGTTTTTGTTTTTTTAAGTGGCAATCAGACTTTTAACCTAATAAGAGAACTATTTTTGCAAGTCATACAGCTAGGCCAGGTGTGGTGGGGCACACTTGTAATCCCAGCAACTBGGGAAGGCAGAGGCAGAARTTTGAGGTCAGTCTGGGCAACTTAGCGAGACCCTGTCTCAAAATTAAAAATAAAAAAGGCTGGAGTTGGGGCTCAGTGGTAAGGAGCCCTGAGTTCGATTTCCAGGACAACAAAACAGTCCCCCAGCAGTGTTCATCTCCTCTTCAGCTGAAAGGGTGAAGTACAATCGCCACAACCTTGTTACAAACTAAAATCCAACAGGTAATTCCAACACCACCTGAAAATAAAGAAATTGAACATGAGAGCATGCAGACAGGCTCGCCACACTTCATGCCTGTCACCTTCAACTTAATTACAAGAAATTACAGGACTGCAATTCCTTCTGAGCAGTGTGGGGTGAAGAAAGGCTAAGTTCATGGGTTGAACTCTGTCAGACTTACACAGATCCACAGGGCAACATCATTACTAAGCAGAAATTACACTGAACACAGGCCCTGGTTTGAGTTCCCTTTCCTGCCAGAAAGATGCATTACTATGTATTATAACAACAGATTGGAAGAACTCTGCTTAGTAAAGAAAATTCACTAGTAAAAAGTGAATTGATACAGTGCCATGATCTACATGCTTGTACCTCCCAAACCACATGCTGAAACCCTAACTCCAGTGACCGTGTAGGAAAGGGGGCCTTTGAGGTTCTGAGACCTGAGAACTCATTCTTGCATTCATTACAACACCTGAGGACAGGCAAGAAGGAGCCACCTATGAACCAGAAAATGCATCATCAAGCCAGGCACAGTGGTGCACACCTATAATCCCAGCAGCTCAGGAGGCTGAGACAGGAGGATTTTGAGCTCAAAGCCAGCCTCAGCAATGGCAAGGCTCTGGGCGACTCAGTGAGACACTGCCTCTAATAAATAAAACACAAAATAGGGCTGGGGATGTAGCTCAGTGTTGAGTGTCCCCGAGTTCAATCCCCAGGAAAAAAAAGCACCCTCATCAGACACAGAACCTGAAGCACCTTGATCTTGGACTTCCAGCCTCCAGGAAACAGAATAGTAGGATGATATGTACCAGATGTTCTTAGCTACATCAGATACATGGAAAAAATATACTTCTATAAGAGGTGTTATCAGTAACTAATGGGTTGTTTGGTTGTTTTTGTTTTGTTGGTTTTTTGGGGGTACCAGGGGCAGAACCCCAGTCACTGGGATTACAGGTGCATACTACAATGACCAGCTTGGGTTTTCAATTGTTCCTGTATTTCTTCTTCTTTCTTTTTTTTTTTTTTTTAAATAAATTAACTCCTGTATTAGGACTACTTAGGAAACAATGTATTCAGTAAGACAAATACTGATAATTGCAGATGACTGATTTGGAAGATCATTCAATTTTTTTGTACATCTTCAGTGTTCTGGTATTTCTAATCACTCTTCAATAACATGTACTATTTTTTAAATTTCTTTTTAATATTTAGTTGTAGATGGACACAATACCTTTATTTTATTTATTTATGTGGTGCTGAGGATCGAACCTAGTGCTCCACGCATGAGAGACAAGTGCTCCACCACTGAGCCCCAGCCCAGCCCAGACATGTACTACCTTTAACATCCAATAGAGGTTATCTTTCAAAAGTAAAAGAAGGGTTGACAGCAGCAAGTGTGCAGAAAGGGCAATCTTACTACAGACTGAAAAGACAGAACTTGGGAACGAGAGATAGTGTTTAATGAAGGGTGCATCAGAATCCCCAAGTTGGGCCTGGTTCCTAGAAGCAGACCCCAGCTGATTCGAGTCTGCTCTTTAACACTGCACTGACCATGGACAAGTCAAAGAGCTTCTCTGGACTTTAGTTTCTTTTTTTTTTTTTTTTTTTTTTTTTTAAAGTTTTATTTTTTTTTTGTTCTCGGCGGACACAACATCTTTGTTGGTATGTGGTGCTGAGGATCGAACCCGGGCCGCACGCATGCCAGGTGAGCGCGCTACTGCTGAGCCACATCTCCAGCCCTGGACTTTAGTTTCTTGACTGCAAGCCTCGTACAAAGCTGAGACAAACCACAGCTCGCCAACAGATGGTGAGTGAGGACGATGCCAGGTAACTGAATCTCCCACCACACACCTCTGCAGGGTCTTCCACTGTGTTTTCCAAAAAGTTCTTACCTGCTACTCTGGTAGGGAAGGCTACCAGGCGGTCTAGCGGTGTTATCCATTTACTCGGCACAACAGCCACAGGGACAGAATAATACTTCCAAATGAGCGAGATCATCAAGGCTGCCTGGAAAGACACTTCCCGTGAGTAAAGACCACGTGCCATCACACAGGTAATCACAGGGAAGAAGACGGAAATGTAATGAACACTGAGACACTGACGGCCCCAAGCTCTGTCAACCCAGTCCTCAAAGCCAACAGAACAGACATACCAGCTCTGCTATCCAGGGCTGCAGCCTCGAGAAGGAACATCTAGTTGAGGAGAGCTCATAAGCACGTCCAGAATATGCTGCCAACAAGCAGCTGAGCGCTCTCCCGGGAACTGGCATCTTACTATTTCGTTATGAATCCACATATACACTATGTAAGTTAGCTGATAAGCTGACCAAGTCCTCGCATAAGACAGGTGATCTGTTCCCACTGCCTGTCTCTGACCAGCTGAACTACAGCTGAATACAACAGAGAAAGACAAAAGCACACCCTTGCCTCTAAGACCCTTGAAAAATGAGCTAATGCCCCCAACAGCTGTGTCAGTGTAGGAGTGCACAAGTGAACCCCAAGTTTCAAAGATGAGTGGAAAACTGAAGAGTGGCTTTCTGTCCCATTCATGATCTTGAATATGCCATGAAAATGAACAGGCTTAAAAGGGGCACTGGGGTAACCCCTGTGTCTCTGAACCAATGTGGCATCAAATACAGTGCCTCAGATCATTTCACTTCAGTGTACCCCAAAACCTGGACTTTGCAAGGTAGGTTTTTGAATACTTCGGCTCAGCAAAGACCATACATAATGTTACACTCCTCTCAAGCAGCCAGAGGCCTGCCCTGTCAGCAGCACAGCCACAGCCTCATATAAGCAGCAACAGAGGTGGCAGCCCCAAGGGAAGCCTCACAGCAGAAGTCTGCAGCTAAGAAGCTGGGGCCTCGGAGTGCTGTCTGTGCACACAGGGAACAAGTACTATCCAAAATGACTGCAGATCTTAGAAAATACAAGCCTTGTAAACTTCTTACAACATCCTCCGGCCCTTAAAACTGTACTGGAACAGAGGCAAGGTGGGAACTCCCAAGAGGTTACTTCAGGGTTCATTTGCCAAAGTCCCAACCTCTAACAACTCGGCCCCAGAGAAAGGCTATCAGTGCAATTAAAAATTCACAGGTGGGGCTGGGGATGTGGCTCAAGTGGTAGCATGCTCGCCTGGCATGCGCGTGGCACTGGGTTCGATCCTCAGACCCACATACAAATAAAGATGTTGTGTCCACCGAAAACTAAAAAATAAATATTAAAAAATTCTCTCTCTCTCTCTTTAAAAAAAAAAAAAAAAAAAAAATCAGTCAAAAAAAAAAAAGAAATTCACAGATGTCAGAGTCACATGCTGGAGGACCCCATGACATGGCAGCTTGGTGTTCTTAGGCCCAAGTTCCACAGGCCACAGCATCTGGAGACAAGTCACAAAGGCCCTGGTGACAGTACACTTACTTGCAATATGTAGAAAGCAACACTCATCACCCATTTTATCTTGGCTAGTTGAGCTGTCCGTGCTTTCACTGAAAGGAAAAAGAGAAGCAGGATGAACCGTGATGCAGTGCTGACAACAGGAGAAGACACTTCGACCACAGACACTCTGCCTCAGGAAGCACCTCCAGGTACCGACAAACGATCACCCGAGACATTTAGAAATATAAGACAGAACTTCTTAAAAGTCATCAGATTGTGAGGTCAGGACAGCTTCACTTTTGAGAACCCTCAAAATTATTCACCTCCACCAGAGGTTCTTTTTATAATGCCTTGTCAACAGTAATAAATTCTCTTCCCTACTTCCTGGTCTACATCACACAGAAACCCCAAGCAGGAGTCTAGATGGTCCCCAGCCTAAAGATGTGCTTTCCGTACCTTGAAGACAGCTCTCTCACCACGAACAGGCCAGCAGGGCCTTCAGCACATGGCTGTCCTTCACTCAGATCACGATGGTTTTGGGCATTTTCCAGAGAGCAGAACAAAAAGCCCTGAGAACCCACTACAATATCTTTTTCTAGGATTCCTTCAGAAAAATGCTGAATTTGAAAATGAAACCCTAGGGCTGGGGTCGTGGCTCAGCTGTAGAGCACTCGCGTAGCATGTGCAAGGCCCGGGGTTTGATCCTCAGCACCACATAAAAATAAATAAAGGTATTGTGTCCAACTACAACTAAAAAATAAATATTTAAAAAAGAAAATGGGCTGGGGATGTGGCTCAAGCGGTATCGCGCTCGCCTGGCATGCGTGCGGCCCGGGTTCGATCCTCAGCACCACATACAAATAAACATGTTGTGTCCACCAAAAACTAAAAAATAAATATTAAAAATTCTCTCTCTCTCTTTTAAAAAAAAAAAAGAAAATGAAAACCTACAAAGATACATTGACTTCAAAGAAAATCTAAAAGGATTCTTAAATGTTTCTGTATTTAGAATGCAAAGGTTCACCAGCAAATCAGGAGAAAGTAATATTTATTGCTGGGTTTCTTCCAGACAACATAAAAAATTTCTATCAACATTTAGAATGCCTAAGAAGCAAAGCCTGTGTCCTACGAATCCATATATAGAGAATTCTCTATTAACCAGCTCTCGAGACACTTTCCAGGTGCCACTCACTGCAATACCATGAGTCTTGAGCTTGTCCGTCATCTTGTTGATCTTCCTTTCCAGCCTGGCGTATCTGGCAAACTCGTCCATCATGTTGACCGTGGAGAGCTCTTGCTTCATATCCTGGATCTCTGCCCTCATCTGCGACTCCTGCTCTGCATCCTTCTGCAGCACCCTGGACATCTSGCAGGGTGGAAGGCTGAGATCAGTATCTTCCCATGTGGGGTAGAGAACGGCTCCGCAGCCCTCCCCTTTCCTTATATGTTCTGACTGAGAAACACAGTGTGCTTTCTACTGTGACCCAGCCAGCTGCCTATTTTCCTTGCAGGCTTGAACCCAAGATGTGGCTTTGAACATTCCCAGATCCTTACATGGGTCAGGCTGTTGCTGGAAAACACTGGGTGATTAGCTTTGTTGCTCGACATGTAGAAACTAGCCACCCTCAGAAAAGCCGCTCAAACACCCACATAATGGGGGCTGGGGTTGTGGCTCAGTGGTAGAGAGCTCGCCTCACATTCATGAGGCACTGGGTTTGATCCTCAGCACCACATAAAAACAAAATAATATGTCCATCTAAAACTAAAGATACATAGATAAATAAATATTTTTTTTTAAAAACATCCACATAAACTCTGTAATCCAACCCCCTTGTGGAGGACATACCTAGGAAAAACATATCTTCTTTCTTTCTCACTGTCTGTCACAAAGATGGCTATGTTAATTCCCCTGAGAAAAGCTCTGCACAGGTTATCCCAGCGTTTAGAGCTTCTTTCTTTGGAATCCCACACAGCCCTGTCTTCAGATGGTTTGGAACAGCCTCTTGAGGGAACCCCCCTGCCATGGTTTTTGAGGTGACTCTGGCCATGTTTGGCTGGACAGGACAAACCAACATCATATTGCTGTGCCTTTCAAGCTGCCCAATGACCTACATGGCCAGGCTGTGGCATTTTCCTAGCCTTTCCAACAGCACAAAGGAAGCCCAAAACTCTGAGCTGAGGTTGACACTCAGTAGTAGAGCACTTGCCTCTCACGCAAGAGACCCTGGGTTCTAGCCTCAGCACCACATAAAAATAAATAAATAAAAATAAAGACGTGTCCATCTACAACTAGGAAAAAAAATTTAAAAAAAGAGAAAGCCCCAAATTCCCTTGAATTTGAATGACTATACAAATTTTTCCTTCTGCAGATATGTCCATGGATTGCTACAATACAAATGTGTGTATTTTTTACTTATAAGAATCCAATTAGCATCATAAAATAAAAATCAATTCCATCATCACAGCAGCCATTTAAGTGATGGGGAACATAATCCTGTTTCCGTCCTACAGAACTGAGTCCCACATTAGATGGGGCTGAGAAGGTGGGGGTGCAGGACATCAGTGATGAGGTAGAGGCCTAGAGCAGGGTGTCAGAGCCCAGTGGGGAGGGTCTTCCCACACAGGGGCACCTGATCAAGGCAGATCAGGGCCAACCATAGTGATAGAGGACCCCCAAGACAGCGCTGCCAGACAGGGAGTCAGAATCTTAACAGGTGAGGAATACAGATGGCAAGTCAGAAAACAGGAACCCCACCAAACATGGCATCAGAAGCCAAGCAGGAATGAAGCAGCCATCCACACTGGGTACAGGTGACAGAGGAGATGGGAGATTATGTGCAAGGACATTACATAAGCATTAAAGGTAAGGAGTGGGCTGGGGATGTGGCTCAGAGGACTTCACAGGCAGAGGAATCCTGTATGGAATTGTAGCTCACCTAAACTGACTGCCACCCAAAGGCCTCTCCCCCTCCCATATACCTATGCCAGTGGGCCAGGAACATGAGGATGAGATGACAGTGGCCGCCAGGTGGCGCCCACCAACTGTTCAAGATGGGCCTGGGTCAGAGCACTGCAAGGGCACACTGAGGCAGAGAGGTCCTGGTGGGGGAGCGCTGGCCTCCAGCAACCTGCCCGGCGTAATGAGCAAACACCCCAAAATGTAAGTCCTGTGCCAGTGGACGAGAAGCAGTGAGAACACAGCACCCCTCCTGAGAGAGCCAGGCCRACACTGAAAAAACCAGCAAGCATGGCCCTGATGCGAAAGTCAAGGCCAGCCCCATCTGAAAATCAGCTGGTGGGAGGATGACACAAGCTGCCTGGCTCCTCCCTCCAGGACTTCTGGGGACAAGCATGGGAACATCCCTGGACACAGGATGGATGTTCTTCCATCTAGGGATGGGACCAAGGCCCCTGCAGAGCTCCAGACCCTGAAAAGCCCAGATGCCACTCTCCACCAGGGCCAGCACCACCAGCTGGAACCTGAGCACTAGCAGAGGTCCAGGCCTGCAGCTGCCCCTCCTCCTAGGACACTGGTCCCCTCATAAGAGCACCCCAGACAGCTGTATACTGTTCTCCACCCCAGGGACCCCAGGCAGGCTCCTGTGAGTCGGCTGTGTCCTAACACTTGGAGACTCACGGCAGGGACTCGCTAAGTGCCTGACTGCTTTGGAAAGGAGATGTTTAAGAAACATGCCACTTGGCCTGGGGATGTGGCTCAAGCGGTAGCGCGCTTGCCTGGCATGCGTGCGGCCCGGGTTCGATCCTCAGCACCACACACAAACAAAGATGTTGTGTCCACTGAAAACTAAAAAGTAAATATTAAAATTCTCAAAAAAAAAAAAAAAGAAGAAAGAAAAGAAACATGCCACCCACACAGATCCTGCAGTGTCCACCTCTCCCTCAATCCTCTAGTGCAAAGGGAGATGGCCGCATTTTCCAGCAAAAAGTGAAGGATGATTTTGAAAATGCTAGGGCTATAAAACAGTGGTAGGCCCCACAAACCTAACCCAGAGGTGGCCTGCACCATATCCAACTGTCTGCAAAGCTAGGTATCCAGGACGAGCTGCTGGCGGCACCTACACAGTGCCTGTGACTCGCCAGGACCCTCACCCCAGCCTCTGCCACACCAGGCCCCAGGCGCTACCCGTAGTATGAGCCTCCTGCACCTACACAGCAAATCAACAAAGTGGACTAAAAGGGCAAAAGACTTGCCCAGACAGCCTCCAAAGAAAGTATGCAGCTGTGAGGGTAGAGATAAAGATGGTTTCTCTTACTGCACACTCACAATGCAGGGGCCGCTATGGTACCAAAATGCACAGGGACTTCCAACCAGCAAGCAGCAATCAACTCCAGAGATACCAGCGAGGTGTCCTCTAATTCATTCAACTCTGACACTATCTACCAAGAAACAGTGTCATATCCCACAGGTATAGGGCTTAGTCCCACAGGACAATCCTCACCTCAAACACTGGTTACAAGTTCCAGCCTCTGGAATTTCTGGCAGACAACTACAAATTAGAGTTTCCATGAGTCGCTCTTTAGGTTCCATTAATTTGCTAGACCAAGGCCTGGGAGTATAGCTCAATAGTAGAAGACTTGCCTAGCATGCAAGAGGCCCTAAGCTCAAGCCCCAGCACTGCAAAAAGGAAAAAAAAAAAAAAAAACTTGCTAGCCCAGCTGGCAGAACTCAGGGAAACACTTGCCGATTTTACAAAGGATATGTTAAAGGATACAGATAAGCAGCCAAGAGATATGAAAAGGGAGGTCTGGAAGAATCTAAGCATGGGCACCCCATCCCCAGTTGAGGAGGACCCTCTCAGCACATAGATGAGTTCCTGTTCACTTTCCTGTGAGCCTTCACATGTTAGGCTGGCCAGAAGGTGCCACACCTCTCCTTTGGGAGATCTCACTACAGAGGCATAACTGATGAATGGACAGCCACACAGGAATGGGAGTGGACATAGAGTAAGGCCTACTGCTAATGAGCTGAGAAATTTCTTTGTGCTCAGCTCTAGACAGAAAAGTGGAAGAAGATTATATTTTTGGTTTCTATGACCTGTCTCAGGAAAGAGAATCTTGATTCCTATGGCCTGCCTTGGGGAGAAAAGGCAGGTGAAAGGAGGATGGGAGAAAATTGAGAGACACAGAATTTGCTTTCTGAGGCCTACAGTGCCCCCAAATTATTTAAAATTAAAAAAAAAAAAGGTCTTTAATCTTCATTACTCTGAAGCTATTCCAAAATAACATTCATGGATGTTATGAGCCAGGAGCCACAAACAAAAAAACAAAATAAATAAATCATAATGCCACAGACTTCCATAAGCACACGAAGAGATGTTGGSAAATGCAAGTCAAAACTACAGTGACAGACCACTCATCTATCAGGATGGCAACTGGTTAAAAACAACAATAACAAAAAATAACAAGTGCACTGAGTGGGAATGCAAATGGCCTGGCCACTGTGCAATCAGAGTGGCAGCTTCTCAGTAGAACTAAACCAAACAGAATTCCCATCTGATCCAGCAATTCCACTTTTACCAGAGACTGAAAGCAGGGGCACTCTGCCACCGAGCCACACTCTCTCAGCTCCCCCTTTTTAAATCTGGAGACATGTTCTCACTAAGCTGCCAAGGCTTGCATCAAAATTGCAATCTCCCTGCCTCAGCTCCCTAGTAGCTGGGATTACAAGCGCGCACCACCATGCCCAGCTCTAGCGATTTCACTTGTGATTATACCCAAAAGAGTTGAAAGCAACTGGGGTTAGGGTTGGGGTTCAAGTGGTGGAGTGCTCGACTAGCACATGTGAAGCACTGGGTTGGATCCTCAGCACCACATAAAAATAAAATAAAGATATTGTATCCACCTAAAATTAAAAAAAATTAAATATTAAAAAAAAGAATTGAAAGCAAGAAAGCAAGAACTCACAGATTAATACATCCACTTCTAATAGCTTCACTTATAATAGCCAAAAGAAAGAAATAACCCAAGTGTCTATAAACAGATGAAAGGATAAATAAACAGGTACACGCATGTAATGTAATCCCAGCAACTCAGGAGGCTCAGCACGTTAGCAAGGCCCTAAGCAACTAAGACCTAAGCAAGTGAGACCCTGTCTCAAAATAAAAAATAAAAAGAACTGGGGATGTGGCTTAGTGGTAGAGCACCCCAGGGTTCAATTCCTAGTCCAAAAAAAAAAAAAAAAAAAGATAAATGGATAAACAAAATGTGGTACCAATATACAGTGGAATATTATTCAGTCTTTAAAAAGGAAAGAAATTCTGACATATGCTACAACATGGATGAGATAGTATGCTAAGTGAAATAAGACAAAGGAAAAAGAGCTGTGGTTCCACTTACATGAGGCTCCTAGAGTAGCCAAACAGACTGCAGAATGGTGATTGTCAGGGACTGGGGGAAAAGAACAGAGCTATTTTGTAATAGGCAAGAGTCTCAGCTAAAGGCTGATAAAAGATTCTGGGATAGGGATAGAGTAGTCTGCAAAACAATGAGAATGTCCTCCTGCCACTGGACTGTACAGCTAAAGATGACGAGGATGATGATGATGATGAATTTTATGTTATGTGTACTTTACAACGAAAAGAAAAAAGACAAATGTTTTAGTCAGCTTTTTCACTGCTGTGACCAAAAACCTGACAAGAACAATTTCAGATGATGAAAAGTTGGTTTGGGGCTCACAGTTTCAGAGGTCTCAGTCCATAGATGGCCAACTCCATTGCTCTGGGCCTAAGATGAGGCAGACCATCATGGCCAAAGAAAGCAGCTCAGGACATGGCAATTAGGAAACAAAGAGCTCTGTTCACGGGGGACAAAATATATACTCCAAAGGCATAACCCCAGGGACCCACCTCTTCCAGTCACACCCTACCTGCCTATCACCCACTTAATCCTTCCAGTGTATAAGGCGCTGGTTAGGTAAAGGTTCTCAACACCCGATCATTTTACCTCTAAACTTTCTTGCATCATCTCACACATGAGCTAAACCATAACAAAAAGCAAAAGACAGCCCTTCAGCAAAGCTTAGAACCTAGGATATTCTCTTAATCGTCAGGTGGCAACAGGAAAGATTCTGAAGGGGAGCAGGGGTTAACAGAAAATCCTCTATACTTCAGGGAAAGGGGTTAAGGCCCTAGAATACAGTTTTGCCCAAAACAGACACTCAACCAATCCTAGTAGAATAAGGCAAAGAAGCAGAAGTCCTGCCTAGTCTTAAATATGCCACCACCACCAATTTTTATTAGGAGAGAAAGAGCTGTTTCTAGTCTGAAGTCTCAGTCTGAGTCAGACAGCCCCTCGCTTTTGCTGTGAGCAAAGAGAGGGTGCCCCGCTCCCCGAGCCCCTGCCCTACAAATCCCTTACTATGCTCGCGTAGGCAGGAGTGCAGAACTGGAAGAAGCACAAGGCAAGGCTCCAACCTCCACCCAGCAGTCACTAGGTGGATGACTTAGTGCAACTACTAAACTCTTATCCGGCCTCCTCCCCCGGGAGGTGAGAGTCGTTGAGGACATCCCGCTCTCACAGCAGCCGGGACACCTGGCCGCCAGGCTGAGGCACTCACTGCCGGGCGACACGTCCCGTTGCCCCCTCGGACCCCCAAAGCATCACACTGTACTGGGATTCTCTCTTCACCAGTCTCCCCGCCCGCTCGTCCCAAAATGCGGGCCCCTGCAGCTGGGCTCCGTCGCTCCGGGACCTGGCACGCGGACCAAGCAGCGAGGCCTCGGGAGGCCCCGTCCCTGCAGYCAGGGCCGCTCGAGGCCAGGGACCAGGGCTAACCGGACGGCGGGGCTGGCAGCCGCGCGCCGGGCACCTTCTCCGGTCGCCGCCGCCACCCACGGCGGGAAGGCTGCGGCCACGAGAAAGCCGACCAGGAGCTGCGGCGCCTCCCGGCTCGGGAACCGGCTTCGGAGGCAAGACTCTGCGCCTTCAGATGCTGGGAACCAAAAACCAAAATCACCTCACGACGGAGGCCGGCACGACGCTGCGGCCTCCGGGCGGCCGGCCTGGGACCCCCGAGCGCGCCAGCGGGCCCTGCGGCGGTATCCCCACCGGCCCGGGAAAGGCAGGCAGCACTTACGAAGGAGGACAAGGACGGAAGGAGGATCCGCAGGACATTGCACCCAAATACGAAACAGAGCACCAGCAGCCACGCCCAGCGGTCGGCCTCGGCCGCGCTCATCCCGGACGCTCCCCGCCGCGCCAGCACCGCTACGGAAGCTCCATAGGGACCAAGCCGGCGGGCGCGCCTGCGCCTGCGCAATGTATCCCACCGGCCGTGCTGCGGCGTGTCCGTACGCCTGCGCACTGCGCCGCCKTGGGGAAGAGGCGGGGTCGACTTTTCCTCCCAGTCTAAGTGGAGCGCAGGATATGGAGACCTTCCCCTGGCCTTCCTGGGTTCCATAGTGGTGTTCTACCCATCCCGCTACCTTCCAAAATTCCTGTTGGGTCATCGAGGAAACGGCAATTTGGTCATATATACAAACCATTTGTGTTAATAATACTTTATTTAAATTGACCCACTTTTGTTCCTAAGTAAACTTACTTTAAAATAAAACAAGCCTTTGGTTAAACAAAAACTACCTTATGGTGACAGGTAACTAAAAAATGTTTTCTCAGCAGTTTTTATATGTAAAATGTCTTGAGTGCACATTTCAGAAACTAAACACCAATAAATTTAAATGACGTATAAAATTGCATGCTTGAAAAATAAGTTCATGAATCAGAAGACAATGTTCAGACGCTGGAGACATATTCAGTGGAAGGGGCTTGCCTAGCAGGCACCATGCCCTGGGTTCAATCTCCAGCACCAAAACAAAATCATTTACAACCAATCTAATAATAAAATTTAGGTGAAGATCAGGTTTTGCAACAAAAGAATCACAACTCATGTCTGTGTAGTGTATAAAGCAAAAGATCTTTTGTTGTCTTTTCTGTCAAGGTTAGATTCTCAGAACTAATTCCTATCCAAAATAATGCAAGGATCTGTGATTCTACAAATTTGTTTCCAGAAAACACGTGAAGCACAGCTATTCAATAGCAGTAGAATGAATTATTTCCATGAAAAAGCATATTAAGCTGACAGGTGACTGCTAAACTAACCAAAACAAAGCAAGCTTGGGGCCTCTCCCCATAACCTTCCCCTCCAGCTGGACCCCCCAAAACTGCAGCCAGGCTCCAGGGTTCCCCAATCCCATGAGACTTCCATCCACGAAGAAGGAGAAGCTACCTGCTGAATAGTATGGCCATGCCTCCCCCTCCTTCAATCAACCCCAGCTGAACACCAAGGAATTAGTAGAAATCAGGTTTATTGGCTGCAGCTAGGTCCAGAGGAAGGCTTTTGCCTAAATCAATTCATTCCTCCCATCCCCAAGTTCAGAAATGTTTAGAATTTTAGGCCCAGTGTGTAGGGGGAGAGGGCCCTAAGAGGCTCACCATCGATAGAAGTCCACATAAAAGTAGTTTTTTTTTTTTTTTCCTACTGTTGTGGACAATCAACCCAGACCTGGAAAATAAATCAAGGACACTCTCTAAGAAAATCTGTTGAGAGCCACAGCCAAAGGAGCCCCAGCAAACTTCCAGCTGCCAGCTGATGATTGGCTCACAGCRGCCCCAGCAACATCTAGCTGATTGGCTCCTCTGCGGTGATGTTCATTGGGCTGTTTCCCTGCCCTTCAGACTGCCAGCTGATGATTGGCTCACAGCGGCCCCCAGCAACATCTAGCTGATTGGCTCCTCCACGGAGCTGCTCATTGGGGGACTTCTTTGGCTCCGCCCACACAACCCAGCCAATCGACCTCAAGAGCAGGAGGATTGTGGGAGGTGGAGAGGCGGGTGTGGGGGTGAGAGGCTTGTGGAAGCCGGTGGTGGCAGATGGGCTCTGAGGGTTTTTTCCTGAGGAGCTGTTTTGCTTGGCCTTTGTAGTTCTAAAAATAAAGTTARTTTCTTTTGACAAGTGGCTCCTGAATTGTGCCCAGACAGACTGCGGCAAAAATCAGTGCCCAGGAAAGGGAAATTTACCTTCCCCTCATTTGTACATTTACTCCTATCTTTGGGACTGTAGAGGACTCTCCCTAGGATCCACCTACTGTCCTTTGAAAGGCAAACGCCTCTGTGAAGGCTACAGGCCAATAGAGGCCTTGAGTTAGTCTCCCTTATCGCAGTCTGCTTCTGTAAACATATTTCCCACCTGAAAACTTTTTTTTTTTTTTTTACAAAAATTCTTGGGGCTGGGGATGTGGCTCAAGCGGTAGCATGCTCACCTGGCATGCGTGCGGCCGGGTTCGATCCTCAGCACCACATACAAACAAAGATGTGTCCACCGAAAACTAAAATAAAAAAAAAAAAATTCTTGCTCATAGTCTAAGAACAGTTTGGTGAGAGTCTTTGGAAAAGCTTAATTAAGATTTTCTGTGGAGGAGAGATGCCATAACACAACTTCTGCTTTTCAGGTTGAAGAGGAAAGCATCTGATGTCCCCCACCCCTACCCACAGCCCATGCTGCTGTCATATATTCCCATGAGAAAGACCCCTCCATTCCTAGTGAACAAAAATTCTGAGAAAAGAACACTGGAGAATGCCCCTAGACTGATGCAGCAGAGGTGGGAGAGACCCAGTGCTGCATGGCCTTCAGAGGTGACTCAATTTTAAAACCTCAGCTCTGCTGTTACTTCATTTGGGCAACTCTTAAAAAAAAAAAAAAAAAAGCAGTAGCAATAAAAGGTTGAATTCTACTAATTTATGGAAAGAAAGTAGAAAAGCGGGCACATCTCAATATGAATCTGAATCAGTCAGTCTAGATCTGGTACAGGTTACATTGGTTACAGAAGCTCATAGAATGACTGTTAGTTTTTTGATTCTGCAATCACAAGCTACCACAAAATTAGTAGCTTAAAATGCATTCATTTATTATCTGACAATTCAGAAATCTGAAATGCATCTCACTGGGCTAAAATAATGTTCTTGAGTATCATGAGCCGTCCATGGGCTGTGTGTGGACTACGTTGCCTGTCGTAGCCTCATGAGGGGATAGTCTGTCATTGGGAACCTCCCATTGGACTCCCACAGTGATTGACCACCTGATGGAAGTGAACTTCCCCCTCAAACTCTGCCAAAGATCCCACACAGCACCTGAGATTGATATGACCTGAGAAGATGCCAATCAACCTGCTGACTGCAAGACACCAGGAAGCAAGACTCCGTCCTTGAAACCTTATCCCTACCTTTGAGGCACCCCCTTAAATAAAGCACCAGAGCCATCTTATCTTTGTCTAGATCCAGTTCCCATGTGGACTAGGTATATCAGGGGCTTTGCTTCTGTAAATATATTTCTGGCTATTTGTGTTTTGTCATTCACTAATTATTTGAGACTTTAAGTTTTAGGGTGGCTTACATCCTCCTGGGCAGGAAGAAGAACCCCCCCCCCCAGTGGTGCTGGCCATTGCCCCTGTTACTTGAGGAAATTATGGTGAACAAAATAAATCAGTCACAAAAACACAAATCATGCATGAGGGCTGGGGTTGTGCCTTTTGGTGGAGTGCTTTCCTAGCATGTGTGAGGCACTGGGTTCCATTCTCGGTACCACATAAAAATAAATAAAGGTTCATCCACAACTAAATGTGTGTGTGTGTGTGTGTGTGTGTGTGTATAGACAAATAATGCACGATTCCACTCCCATTAGATCTCTAAAGTAGTCAAACCCTCCAAAACATGGACTAGAGGGAAGGGAAGATAGGTAGTCATTGTTAAATGGGTGCGAGTTTCAAGTTTGCAAGGTGAAAAAGTTCTGAAGACCTGGTGCACAACAATGCAAACATACATGACACTACTGAACAATACACTATAAAATATTTACAATAGCCGGGCATGGAGGCCCATGCCTGTAATCCCAGTGGCTTATGAGGCTGAGACAGGAGGATGGAAAGTTCAAATCCGGCCTCAGCAAAAAGTGAGGTGCTAAGCAACTCAGTGAAACCCTCTCTCTAAATAAAATACAAAATAGGGCAGGGGATGTGTTTCAGTGGTTGAGTGCCCCTGAGTTCAATCCCCAGTCCACCCTCCCAAAAAAAAAAAAAAAAAAAAAAAACTACAATGGCAAATTCTATTACCAACATCTGTGAACATCTGTGCCTCCCATCTTCATCATTGGACTTGACAATGAATAAATTTACATCAGAGGGCTGGGGATGTGGCTCCAGCGGTAGCGCGCTCGCCTGGCATGCCTGCGGGCCGGGTCCGATCCTCAGCACCACATACCAACAAAAGATGTTGTGTCTGCCGAGAACTAAAAAAATAAATATTAAAAATTCTCTCTCTCTCTCTCTCTCTCTCCTCTCTCACTCTCTCTTTAAAAAAAATATTACATCAAAAGTCTGCATCTAGCATTTATGCAATATAATAAAAATTTTTGTTGTTTCAGAGGTTTTCCTTGTTTAGTCTTTCAATGAAGAGGCTTGTGGGCTGGGTATGTGGCTCAGCGGTAGCGCGCTCTCCTGGCATGCGTGCGGCCCGGGTTCGATCCTCAGCACCACATACCAACAAAGATGTTGTGTCCGCCGAGAACTAAAAAATAAATATTAAAAATTTWAAAAAAAATGAAGAGGCCTGTAAAAAAGAAAAAATTAGGGATGGGAGGAGCACTGAGGATTGAACACAGGGTGCTTTACCACTGAGCTACATCCCCAATTCTTTTTATTTATTTTTTAAATTATTTTATTAGTTGTTGATGGATATTTATTTATTTATATGTGGTACTGAGAATCGAACCCAGTGCCTCACACATGCTAGGCAAATGCTCTACCACTGAGCCACAAACCCAGCCCCCTTTTTTATTTTTTATTTTGAGACAGGGTCTTGCAAATCACTGAGAATCTTTCCAAGTCACTGAGGCTGGCTTTGAAATTGGATATGTCTGTCTCAGGCTTCCAAGTCATTGGGATTAYAGGCATGCACCACCACATCCAACAAAAGGAAGAATATTTTTAAATGGACAATGGACCGTCTCACATGACAATTAAGTTTAATAAGATTAGTAATACACATTTGGCTCACCTTTTAATTTAATGAAATCAAAATTTCAAACTGGAGAAAAATTATACCATAAATTTGCCATATATGAATTTTTTACCAGAAATTTTTAAAAAATGGGGGGCTGGGGATGTAGCTCAAGTGGTAGTGCACTCGCCTGGCATGTGTGGGGCACTGGGTTCGATCCTCAACACCATATAAAAACAAAAATAAAGATATTGTGTCCACCTAAAAAACTAAAAAAAGTAAATATTTTTTAAAAATTTGCAGGCAGGGAGCTCTTAG